CCAATGAACAAAAGCCCAGGACCAGATGGATTCACACGCAAACTCTATCAAACATTTAGAGAAGAGCTAACACCCATCCTTCTCAAACTCTTCCAAAATACAGCAGAGGGAGGAACATTCCCAAACTCTTTCTATGAGGCCACCATCACCCTGATATCAAAACCAGCCAAAGATGTCACAAAAAAAGAAAAAACTACAGGCCAATATCACTGATGAACATAGATGCAAAAATCCTCAATAAAATACTAGCAAACAGAATACAACAGCACATTAAAAAGACCATACATGGGGCTTCCCTGGTGGCGCAGTGGTTGAGAGGCTGCCTGCCGATGCAGGGGACACGGGTTCGTGCCCCAGTCCGGGGGGATCCCACACGCCGTGGAGCAGCTGGGTCCGTGAGCCACGGCCGCTGAGCCTGCGCGTCTGAAGCCTGTGCTCCACAACGGGAGAGGCCACAGCAGTGAGAGGCCCACGTACCGCAAAAAAAAAAAAAAAAAAAGACAATACACCATGATCAAGTAGGGTGTATCCTAGGAATGCAAGGATTCTTCAATATACACAAAACAACCAATGTGATAAACCATATTAACAAACTGAAGGAGAAAAACCATATGACCATCTCAATAAATTCTGAAAAAGCTTCTGACAAAATTCAACACCCACTTATGATAAAAACCCTCCAGAAAGTAGGCATAGAGGGAACTTACCTCAACATAATAAAGGCCATATATGACAAACCCACAGCAAACATCATTCTCAATGGTGAAAAACTGAAACAATTTCCACTAAGATCAGGAACAAGACAAGGTTGCCCACGCTCACTATTATTCAACACAGTCTTGGAAGTTTTAGCCAAAGCAATCGAGAAGAAAAACATATAAAAGGAATCCAATTTGGAAAAGTAGTAAAGCTGTCACTGTTTGCACATGACATGATACTATACATAGAGAATCCTAAAGATGCTACCAGAACACTACTAGAGCTAATCAATGAATTTGGTAATGTACCAGGATACAAAATTAATGCACAGAAATCTCTTGCATTCCTATACACTAATGATGAAAAATCTGAAAGAGAAATTAAGGAAACACTCCCATCTACCACTGCAACAAAAAGAATAAAATACCTAGGAATAAACCTACCTAAGGAGACAAAAGACCTGTATGCAGAAAACTATAAGACACTGATGAAAGAAATTAAAGATGATACCAACAGATGGAGAGATATACCATGTTCTTGGATTGGAAGAATCAACATTGTGAAAATAACTATACTACCCAAAGCAATCTACACATTCAACGCAATCCCTATCAAACTACCAATGGCATTTTTCACAGAATTAGAACAAAAAAATTTCACAATTTGTATAGAAACACAAAAGACCCCAAATAGCCAAAGCAATCTTAAGTAAAACGGAGCTGGTGGAATCAGGCTCCCCGACTTCAAACTGTACTACAAAGCTACAGTTATCAAGACAGTATGGTCCTGGCACAAAAACAGAAATACAGATCAATGGAACAGGATAGAAAGCCCAGAGATAAACCCACGCACCTGTGGTCACCTTATCGTTGATAAAGGAGGCAAGAATATACAATGGATAAAAGACAGCCTCTTCAATAAGTGGTGCTGGGAAAACTGGACAGCTACATGTAAAAGAATGAAGTTAGAACACTCCTGAACACCATACATAAAAATAAACTCAAAATGGATTAATGACCTAAATGTAAGGCCATACACCATAAAACTCTTAGAGGAAAACATAGAAAGAACACTCTTTGACATAAATCACAGCAAGATCCTTTTTGACCCACCTCCTAGAGAAACGGAAATAAAAACAAAAATAAACAAATGGGACCTAATGAAACTTCAAAGCTTTTGCACAGCAAAGGAAACCATAAACAAGACCAAAAGACAACTCTCAGAATGGGAGAAGATATTTGCAAACGAAGCAACTGACAAAGGATTCATCTCCAAAATATACAAGCAGTTCGTGCAGCTCAATATCAAAAAACAAACAACCCAATCAAAAAATGGCAGAAGATCTAAATAGACATTTCTCCAAAGAAGATATTCAGATTGCCAACAAATACATGAAAGGATGTTCAACATCACTAATCATTAGAGAAATGCAAATCAAAACTACAGTAAGGTATCACCTCACACCGGTCAGAATAGCCATCATCAAAAAATCTACAAACAGTAAATGCTGGAGATGGTGTGGAGAAAAGAGAACCCTCTTGCACTGTTCGTGGGAATGTAAATTGATACAGCCACTATGGAAAACAGTATGGAGGATCCTTAAAAAACTACAATTAGAACTACCATACGACCCAGCAATCCCACTACTGGGCATATACCCTAAGAAAACCATAATTCAAAAAGAGTCATGTACCACAGTGTTCATTGTAGCTCTATTTACAACAGCCAGGACATGGAAGCAACCTAAGTGTCCATCGACAGATGAATGGATAAAGAAGATGTGGAACATATGTACAATGGAATACTACTCAGCCATAAAAAGAAACGAAGCTGAGTTATTTGTAGTGAGATGGATGGACCTAGAGACTGTCATACAGAGTGAAGTGAATCAGAAAAAGAAAAACAAATACTGTATGCTAACACATATATATGGCATCTAAAAAAAAAAAATGGTTCTGAAGAACCTAGGAGCAGGACAGGAATAAAGACGCAGACATAAGAGAATGGACTAGAGGACATGGGAGGGGGAAGGGTAAGCTGGGACGAAGTGAGAGAGCGGCATGGACATATATACACTACCAAATGTAAAATAGATAGCTAGTGGGAAGCAGCTGCATAGCACAAGGAGATCAGCTTGGTGCTTCATGTCCACCTAGAGGGGTGGGATAGGCAGGGAGGGAGGGAGACGCAAGAGGGAGGAGATATGGGGTTATACGTATATGTATAGTTGATTCACTTTGTTATACAGCAGAAACTAACACACCATTGTAAAACAATTATACTCCAATAAAGATGTTAAAAAAAATAAACTGACATAACCACATAAAATATACACAAAGTTAATAGAGGGATCCCTCAATACCTGAACTCTATCTGAATTCTTGCCTTCCAAAACTCAGGAACCAAATAGATTTGAATAAGTTCTCACATGTACCACTTGTTACCCAGACTCTTACTACCCAAAACCCAGAATTTGGCTCACTCACCATCCCTTGTTAAGAGAACTCAATAACCAATCTCTCACTCCAAACTCCTGGATCCAACAGTCTTGTACACCAAAACAGAAGCATATGTATTCAAGGGCTATATAAATTTTAGAATTCTTGTTTTAAGAGATTTAAGCAGATTTTTTTTAATGTGAAAAAAATGGACATATCTGTATTTTCATTCAAATTTGAAATTTAAATTCCACTTAACGAAGAATTTTTCTACATGAACGTTTTTAAACTATAAAGTGCCATATTTTTTAACCTTTAGACCACACAAAATATAAAGTAAATTGTTAAGTATATGACAGACAACTTATAAGAGTTAAATAAAGTTAATTCATGGCTTCAAAGAGCTCTGAAGTCAGTCTCAACATCTTTTTTTAAAAAAAAAATACTTATTATAAATAACATGGGAAATAAGGTTTTCAAGGAAAACTACTTTCAGTGTTAATTTTTCAGCAACGTTATTTCACAGATTGTATCAGATTTTTCTTGAAGTCACAAATAGCAAAGGGCAAAACAGAACAAATGAAAAGAGTACAGAAGTTGAAAATGATGGCAAAAATTTCAAATTAATTTGGTTACAGACGAATGATATGAAACAATTTTAGAAGTAATTACTCCATAAGGTTCAGCCCAAAGTCAAAGAAACAGCAAGCAAAGAACAAATTAACTAGACTGAGAAAAAGGAAAAACCAGCTCTCATTACAACAGTGCATTTTTCTTAAGTATTTAACTTAGGATAACATTTGAACACAAGCTTTTTCAAAAACCTCGTGCATGATGAAAACTTACAACATCAGTTGAGAACATAACTAAAACATGATTTTTTTACATGCTCAAAAATTATTTTAAGAAATAGAGAAAAAAAGGGGAAAGGTTTAGCAGGTAAAAAACAAAACAAACAAACAAACAAAACTGTAGGTTTGAAGAAAGCAAACTACTTTCCCAGACTCTTTTGATACAAATTACATAAATGATTTAAAGAGACTGTAACTAGAGCTCCCATTTTATCCTAATTTGCCCATATTCTCCCAAGGGCTCACTTCGGATTTACTAATTTTTTTTTTTTTTTTTTTTTTTCCTTGCGTTATGCGGGCCTCTCACTGTTGTGGCCTCGGATTTACTAATTTTAAAGAATGTGAACACTTTAATCAAGCAAATTCTAAGAGTCATTCGATACACTCCATCTTTCACAGTTAGGAAAAAAAAACCAGCAAAATTAAATTTTAAAACATAACCAAACCTTGTCTACAAGAGTCACAAAGTGAGTGACTTAAGATTCAGTGATCTCTTTAACTTAACTGATTCCACACAGAGCACCAAAACACATCTATTGTGCCTGTGTTTGTCTTCCTAAAAAGCTAAGATTCACTACTAAGCTTTAACTACCAGCCAGAGATGAGAGCCCTTTGGGAGAGAACAAACCCAGAGAAGATGTCAGGATTCCATGGATCTATTTCACAGGGTGGCACAATGATTGAATGCAACACATTCTTAATAAATGAAGGCGCAGCATATGTCACTATTTCTTCAAATTAAATCTTCATACCTCCATGCCCAATTGTTCACATCAGACAAAACACCCCTGAGCACAAACACTCCTCCTACATAAAAGGAAGGAGCTGGACTTTGGTTGGGGCTCTAGGTGTCCTTCCAGTTTATGATTCTATTTAACTAGTTGTGAAAAAATACAACTCTCACGACTCAGGGAAAGTTACATTTTACTGCCAAAAAAATGACAGATTTGATGCAATAAACCATACCTTGCTCTGCCAAATGTTAATATCAGAACTTCTGAAATAAACAAACCTGTGTCTATGTTCATCTGGTCCATGGATCAGGAAGACTCCAGGGTTTTTAGCCCCTTTGCCGGCATCTACATGAGGAATTAACACATCTTCCAAACCCAGATCAAAACGTTTGTGTTTTGAAGAGTCTGGAAGGAAGAAGAATGCCCCAAAACACAGGGTGATGAAGGCACTTAGAATAAGGAGGAGGATAAACTTCTCAGAAAGTCTCAAGGTAGCCCTGTGATGCGGGAAGGAAGGCGGCCCTAGGTTCAGAGGTGGTATCCTTCGTCCAGAGAGGGGTAGCAGCGCTGGGGTAGTCATCGTTTACGCTCTTGGGCAGAATATTTTATAAAGTTCTCATCTTACATCAAATGTACGATACATTGAACAGTCTTCAGAATCCTGGCAAAAATGGGGAAACTCAATTTTCCTCCTCTTAAAGGACTGCTGTGCGTTTCAATAGGGCACCTCTTTCACGCTCATCCAATTACATGCAGAAATGAGTGTGGCCCCCAAACGATCACTAGTTTAAGCCCTGTGATACTTTCTTTGCCATCTGGCTCTCAGTACCTCACCGGATGATTACAAGTCTCCTCTTCATTCCTAAGGGTAGATCAGACAAGCAACACCGCACAGAGGATGCAAGGTGGGTTCTTCCATTCCTGAACCTCCGGGAGATGCTCCAACGTGGTTTCCCGCCCCAAAAGGGAGCCTGACGTGATCCAAGGAGCTGTAGAAGGTTCACTTGAGCTCCTCGGATGCTTCGATTGCAGAATCTCTGAACCTCAGTGGTGGAAAAACAAGGGGCTCCTCGGAAGTCAGTCAAACGGGAGGAGGGTCACCCGCCTCGCCGGGAAACCGAAGCAGCGGCGCTGGGCGAAAAGCAGGAAGAAGGGCTCGGACGCCCGCGCCTCCCGACGCTGTCCCCGGGCTCCGACGCTGCTCCCTCGACGGCTGGCGCGAAGGACATCCGCGTCCAAAATACCTGCGCCCTCCCAGCCGCGGCCGCCGCGGCCGCTGTCGCTACCGCTCGGGTCTGTCAGGGAGCGGAACTTCCTCCTCGGCGGCCACTGAGAAGCCCCGGCGTGAGCGGGGGGAGGGGAGGCGCTGCGGCCGCCCCCGCTCGGCTCCTCCTCCTCCTCTCAGCAGCGGGTTAAGTTAACCCAGGCGCCAGCTCCCAGAGCGAGGGCGCCTCTGACCCCGCCGTGCCCGGCCGCGGCGACCGAGCCTCCGCGACCCCGCGGCGTGGGAAGAAGCAAAGCCGCGGCCCCCCTGTCCGAGAACCCGGGGCAGGCGCCTGCTCATTCCTTGCTAAGCCCGGGGGCGGCGGCGGCCCCGGGCTCGCGAGAGCAGTCGCGCCTCGGGCGGGCAGAGGTCAGCTGCGTCTCCTTCCTCCCTGGCAGCCGTGGGGCACTGCCTGGCCGCCGTGGGGGCCTCCGCGGCGCAACCTCCGGTCGCTCGCAGCCGCTCGCTCTGGTGGTGGCGGCGACGGCTGCGGGAGAGGCAGCGCGTCCACGCGGTGCGGGGCTGCGGCCCGGTCCTCGTCCCGTGGCTCGTTAGGCCGGGAGGGCGCGGAGCAGCCGACTGCCGACACCCGTTGGGCACACTTCTGAGGGGAGCCGGCGTGCGGGGGTGGGGCGGATGGCTCGGGCCTGCCTCCGGCCCCGACTCGCGAGTGGGCGTCCCCGAGCAGCGGAGTGTGAGGTGCGCGCGCACGCTCCCGGCCTCGCCGCCGCCGCCGCCGCCGCCCCCGCCCCTTCCCCGCCCCACCCGGCCCGGCCCGCGCTCCGGCCTCGCGCTGGTGCTGCGGGCTCTAGCGCCCGCCCTCCCGCCCGTCGGCTGCGCGCCCCCCGGAAGCGTCCTGCAGCCGGCGTCTGGGCACGTGATGGGAGAAGGTCTACTGTTCGCGCTTCACTGATAACTTCACCTGTGCCAGGCTTCGGCATCGCCAGTTCGTGGGACTGACCCGGCATTTGGGAGGTTGGGGGCGGGGAGGGTAGGGTGGCTCAGGTCCCGAAGGCTTCGCTGCAATCCGAGGGTTACTAGGACTAAAGGGATCTGACGGCCAAGGTTAACGTTTAATATTGCTTTATGGAGATCGTGTCTTCAATTATGGACCATTGGTCCCTAGGGCTCAACGACTGAGTCTCCAACTTCCTTACAGCCCATGTGCATGTTGTTGGACACCCGAAGCTCGAGTCATCTCTACTGAGCAGCAACCGTGTGCCAGGCTCTGTGTTAAGAATAAAATGGCGACCTTCAGGTTAGGTTTCCTGGCTGAGGTGTCTCTGACAGCAGCCCATATGACCCTACAGGACAACAGCTTCCTCGTGGTTCAGTTTCTGGAAGACGTTCTCCCATGATCACACTCCTCACCACCACTCTTCCCATAAAAGAGATAATAAGTATGAACAAGAAGATGCTAAAATCCAAAAAGACAACAATGTTGTTTAAATTCAGGCTTAAAAGCACCCTTAAGTTGATTCTGTTAAGAATCTTAAGAACCATGTGATTAAGTCCAAAAAATTTCTGTGTAATACACAAATATTCTCACTTGTTTGATACTAAGATGTCAGTGCCTCTACATATCCTTAGTGATGACTGGGAGTTGGAGAGCAGTCCCTTCAGCGGCAGGGACAAAAGGTGAGCCTTAGTTAAAAATCAAGCAAAAATCCTCATCTTCACTGGCACAATTCGAAGTACAATTCCAGTCTGCAGTATTTCCAGAAGCTCTGCATATCTCACTATCTACCATATGCCAAAGAAGTCATTGTCATTGATTCACCAAATAAAGACATAAAAATGTTAAGTGCCACCTCTCACCCAGTCAGGCTGGCAGCCCAATCCAAAATGAAATTTTTTGTTGGACACTTGTGAAAAGTAGGTATAAGAAATTCCCTGCCTTCCCAATGTGTCTTTATAAAGTGTGCCAATTTTATGAATAAGTTTCTAATGCTGAGCCTCTTTGTAAGCCAAAGGAAGAGAAACACTTGGGTTTCCAACTACTGAGGTCATTAATTTCCATGGAAAGATCAAGGGAAATAAATATTGACATCTGAATGAAATAGCAAGTTACATAAGCCTTGAAAGGTAATTATCTAGGTTGACACTAAATTGTTAACCACAGAAATATCGATCATGAAACCTGCCTTAACCTAGTTGAAAAGCATGACTTAAGCAGGCTCAACCTCATAACCAGTGGAGAAGACTTATCTGTGTCCTTTCCTCTTTCTTGCCCTTGCCTGTTTTGCAAAATTCATTTTTCCTTCAGGAGAGTAAAAGTATTATTTAAATTAGAGGTTACTGCAGATATCCAAATGCAGTCTGCAATTCTAAGGCCCTTGATGATGCTATCAGTTATTATAATCCTACACCAGCATCAAAAATGTGTGTGTGTGTGTGTGTGTGTGTGTGTGTGTGTGTATTCTCTTCTAGAGACTAGGTCCCTCTCAAATGAGTTTTAAAAGAATTAGTATTAGGGGCTTCCCTGGTGGCGCAGTGGTTGAGAGTCCACCTGCCGATGCAGGGGACACGGGTTCGTGGCCCGGTCCGTGAAGATCCCACATGCCGTGGAGTGGCTGGGCCCGTGAGCCATGGCCGCTGACCCTGCGCGTCCGGAGCCTGTGCTCCGCAACGGAAGAGGCCACAACAGTGAGAGGCCCACGTACTGCAAAAAAAAAAAAAAAAAGAATTAGTATTGTTTTGTTGGTTTTTAAAAGCAAGTTGAAAATGTATTCATAAATTATGATTACAAGTACATAAAATGCATATAAAAAATTAAAAGGGAATATTTGAAAAAGATTATCGCTTGTGTTAAGATGTTGGTATTATATATAGTTTTTCCCCATGTGTTCTGTTTGTGTTACTTTTATAATTAAATAAATAATTTTTAAATAAAGTGATACTTGAGGAAGTTAAGGTCAGATTTCAAATAGGTGGACTCAGCTGTATCAAGATGAACACGTCTGAGGGCAATCAACAGAAATCAGAAAGTATATGAAATATACATATATATATTTTTTAATATATACATGTAACAGGGACGTATCTCATTCTAGACAGTACAAAGAGAATATTTCATTTTCAAGGAGTAGCTGTGCTTTGATCAATGGTATAGACAAGATTCCAAAGTGGCAGATAAAGTGGTAATTTCCCTTTTATAAATCCATGTAAATTAATTAATATTTTAGGAAATAGGAATTGTTCAATTCCTAACCAAACAAGATCTACCCCAACATATTTCAGATTTATAGGACCATTACTGGGATACACTTATGTATTACAATGCAAAAGTTATTTGTATTTGTTCAATCATACGTTAACTTTTCTATCATCGAAACAATTTAACACCTATTACACACACACACACACACACACACACACACACACACACACACACCATCTAGCTCTGTTTTAAGTGAAACTGAAGTCATATGCTAGAGGAAAAAAATACAGCTGGTATGCAAAAAGAGGCTTTTGATTTACTTACATGACTTGTTCCTTCTTAGTTTCAACTGGTTCCCAAAGTATCCCAAAGACATGACCGCTAAATGTGTAGAAAAATAACCAAGCTTTGGCCCTGCTCTTTCCACTCTTGCGTTCTTCTATAAAGCTTTTTTCCTACAGGTCAGGGATAACCTAAGTTCAATGTTATGAAACTCTCACTTTACCTCCATGGTAAGTCAGGAGAGCCAAAAATCTTCACCTGTCTCTCTGAGCCAAAGTATTTAAGGCTCATTTGCTTATAAAAGACACATTTGTTGAAGGGTACTGTCTGATACAGCCTCTACTAGGTGCTAGAAGTTTGGAGAAGTCAGAATCCCTATCTTAGTGAACTCAAAGTCTTGTGTGGGGTGGTAAATGAGCACTGACAATTACCTGACAGGGAAGAGTGCTGTTAGACTAAAGCCCCAGGGGCTCATGTGTTCACTGAAAGGGCACCAGAGTGAGGGGAGGGAGATTGGGCATGTGTCAAGGAAGGTTCCTAGATCAAGTGCCACCTGAGCTGAGCCTTTAATTAACCAGCAGGGAAGAAGGGTGGTGTTCCAACATAGGGAACAGAACATGCATAGGCATCCACAGCTGTTTGTTCCTGCCACTTATCCAGAAACTTCCCTGCTTTACTCTTCCAATAAATAGCTTGCCTGGCCCTAAACCCCCAATACTCTTGAAGGGGGAAAGTGAAATTTTTAAATTTCAGAAAAACATATGACTATGGAAACACATTACTCTCTCCCAGTGCCTAAGACAGGGCCAAGCAATGAGGAAGCCAGAAGCTTCAGCTTCCCTGGGCTCATAGTAAATCTGCTTCTGCTCTGAACCCAGCCATATCTAAGGCTAGTTCATCCTTTGAAACTCTCAGTTACACAAGCCTATAAATTTCTTTTGCAGTCAGAATTAGTTTCTGTGGCTTGCAATGTGAAGTCTTGACTAATACACAGCGTGTCTTTGCATGGAGGTGCTGTGGCTGCCTGTAGTATGTGAAGCACCAGTAGTTTCACAAGTGTAAAGGATCGGGAACCAGAAGGAGCCCACTCTTTCAGGCAACCAACAGGCTTGGGCCAGGGACAAAAGTGGGGAGAAGACCTAAAATTGAAAGGGCTGAACATGGGCTTCCTTGGTGGCGCAGTTGTTGAGAGTCCGCCTGCCGCTGCAGGGGACACGGGTTCGTGCCCCGGTCCGGGAAGATCTCACGTGCCGCGGAGCGGCTGGGCCCGTGAGCCATGGCCGCTGAGCCTGCACGTCCGGAGCCTGTGCTCCGCCACGGGAGAGGTCACAGCAGTGGGAGGCCGGCGTACCGCAAAAATAAAAAGAAAGGGCTGAACAGAAGTGCCAGCAAAGGTA